TTCTTTGAACAGTTTAACGAACCAACATCTTAAAAATGGTTTTCTTTTGCTACTTGATGTTCAAATCGCTAATATTTATCTTCAGTTTTGCTGAAAAATTACCATTTGTAGAGGAAATCCTTGACACTAGAATAGCACACCGGCAACACCTGCAATTCTGACATTTCCTGCTTGTTTGCAATTTGACAAACTTGAAGTGCTGAAGTTCTGGATGCATCTTCGTTATAAAAGACTAACTCTAATTTACCTTAAACTTAACAAGTTTCGTTTTTAAGTCGGTTCTACTCTTTTGTGAAAGGAATCATGACTGCTATTGGTGCAGCAACAAATGCAGATGAAGTCTTCGACGTGGGCGCGCTACGCAATTTTAAGGAAGCAGTTAGTCAGATTTTAGTGGCAATTTCCGTACTATGCAGTTTTGTATATTTAGCTTAAACCTGGTTGCTAAAAAGACAAAAAGCAAAGCACTATAAATTTTGACATGTATTATTGTAGAGACAATAAAACTTCAACAATAGTTAAAAAAGTTTTTCAATAAAGTTAGGTCAGAACAGAATTTATAAAGCTTTCCAAAAGCATACGGATATATATAATATCAATTTTTATTATAACATTTATTTCTGAGCTTCAAACTGTCTTGTTTGTTTTTCAAAATGTGGCAATTAAAACTCCTTAAATTTTTCTGTGATTGGTCATAAGCGTCTTGAATCTGGTGAAAAACGTAAAATTCATCATTCAATTAAACAGGCATCTTCAACAAAGGATGTTTCAAGTTTGCATTTTAGTGCACAATTAGTGCAACATTTTTTGGTAGTTTCCGGTAAAAAGTAGAATAAAATTGTTTTCTGCTGTTGCAGCCGCAGTATCAAATTCAATTAAACCATTTTAACTCTGGCAAATGTAAATTTTCATAACAATGAAGGTCTAATTAGAACGTAGTAAAACAAGTGAATAAGTGACCTGAGAGGACAGATGAAAGTTAAAAATCAGCGTAGACTATCACTTCTTCTTTGTTTGTAACAATTAGAGGAACTGATAACAGTAAAATAATATATCATTTTTTATTGAAACATTCTGAGTTGAAGTAGCCTCGCTATAACTATTCGTCTTTATCGGCAGATTAAAATCTACACGAAGCAACGACTGAAATTTGTTACAAAAAATTAACTGCAGAATAGTCACAATAGTTACCGTAGAAGTTTCACGTAGAGGTAAAAGCGAAAATTAGCAGCTGAAGCTTAAATGTTCTTCAGAACATCGCTGTTGCTTGAAAATTCGACTGATAGCAGTAAAACTAAACCAAAAAAAGTGCGATTAGTTTCAACCACAAATTTTAGATAAAAGTGGCGTATATGAGAACAGTAAAGCAATCAAAAAAAAAGTTAGAACTTGGTTACAGGGAAGCAGGAAGATATTTGAAAGTGCATTCAAACAAAACGCAGTGGTTGAAATTGACCTTACCCCAAAATTGAGAAGACTGTTTCCAAAACTAAATTACATTTCTACAACCGCACCTAAATACCTGCGATCTGTTGTAGAGCTAAAGAGGGCAATCAACTTGCTTTTGCAGGCTTAATGTTTTGAAATGGATATAGGTAAAACGTATGAACCTGGCCCAGTTGTTTGGTACTTTCGCAGGAAACGAATTTTCAATGCATATTTCACTGTCGCATCTGACAGTTGATATTTCAGTGCCTGAAGTCGGAATACTAATAGCTACTTTTAGGCAGAATTTTTAAGAAATGATAGAGAACAGTGCCTTTTTAGAACCAAAAAAAGGCTTGGAACTTTCAAAGTCTAGCAAGTTGTTTTACCGGTTACAAATAATTTTTACGCATTAAATATCCTGGTTTGTTTTTGCATCATTAGTGGTACTGCGGCAAACAGATTTAATTTAGTTCTGTTCTCAAAAGCAACGAAATTATCTTTTAAAGAAAATACCTATCAAAAAAATCTTATTGCTGCTCCATACAGCTCTGCATTGACCAAACAGGCCGAATGTCATACTCAGAAACCGTAAGATTTCTTTATTCGTTCAGCGAGAGCTGTTGCTATAGCCTTGCAAAAAGATTGCCAGCAGAGCAAAAAAAAAAATTTTTTTTTGATAATCTTTTACAATGCTATTCATATAAAATTCAAATATGCTTTGATTTGGAACAAAACAACAGTAAGATTGGTATCAGCTGTAACGAACTCAGACGAAATATATGTTCATCTGTGGTCAATTTAATAAACAGGCTGTCACGCTTCTTAAGATAACCAGGCTTTAGCTATCAAAACTAGTTTTTTTCAATAATATACAATTAAAACCTTCAAATAAATAACTACAGCTTCTATAAGAAGAAAAAAACAGCTGTTAAATTAAATGTACAAGAAATTCTATAGCAATAAAAAAGCTTAAACTTTGCAATACATTTGCTATTATGTTGTGCTATATTCAACCGACAAATCAATATTTAAAAAATTTATAGTGGTCTAAATACTTTTACAACATTCAAATATAGATAAATTGAACTTCTGTAAAAGTACTTAGTAATAGTCCTGCAAACTTTACTTGATTATTGCAGTATTAGCTACAAAGAATAAAAACTGAAGGGTTTTTGCTCGTCTTTTATTACGAAGGTTACTTGCGCATTCTCAATCGTAGATAGTCATCATCCTTCTCACCTCATCAAGGTTTGAAATAATCAATTTTGGGAGATTTTTAATAATTGAAATAATTTTTCAAATATACTGGAAGCGCATTTGATGTTTACAAAACATCTTCTCTTTAATAATCTGCAGAACAGTAAGAAAATTAAAAAACTAATTTTAGTGCAGCGCTTTGTAATTGATTATTTTAGCTTTTCGAGGATTCTAGATATTATTGCGAATCGTCAGTTTCTTTTATATATTTTGCAATTCTACGGTATATGTTATTCTCCGTTAATCTTTTGTTTGCATTGGTGAAACTAAATTTGTTGGGAATTCTAGAGATTGATAGAAAAATCAGGCATCCTTTTTCTCTAGTGGAAGCTTTACTGTCTATATACACTTTTATAAATATGTATTTGCTACATTTTTTTTAATTTTGTTAACGAACATGTTCCTGAATCGTTTCTTGAATCGAGACAAACTCCAAAGATTCAACCTCAAAAAACCAACCTATAACGGAAAACTTTTTATACACTATCAACTTATCCTCTCCAGATTGTAAGCTGCTACTTCTACCGCACGACTTCAGATCGCTAAGACAATCGCCTACTGTTGCTACTTAATTTCCCAAAAAAACCAACACTCCAGCAGCAAAAAATTAGCTGTTTTCTCTTTTTTATGCATAACGACCAAGGAATATTTCTACTTCTTCTAAATATACAGACTAAAATAATTTCCACCAAGACTCATGCTTTATTCAGCAGCCAAAATAATCGCTCTTACCTCTCACAGCAGTCATAATTTTAATTATTTCTATGCTCTAAAGACATTTCCTCTGGTCTTACGCATTGTCTTCCTACCGCAGCTTCTACTGTTTCCCTTCTCCTAGTTTTTCAACAATGTAAAGAGACTTCTGTAAAAGCACGGTAAAATACTAAAAGTGAAAATTAGTTAAGAGACTCAGCTAAAAGCGCTTGCTACAGAACTGAAAATTGGCAACAAGAAAAGCGGAGCTATATATACCTAATAAACTGAAGTTTAGGCGATGTCGCGACAGCACACAAAATGGCTTGGAGGGCCGAAGACGGTAACAAAGCAGATACGACGCTGCGGAGACCCAACGAAGGGTATAAAACAGCAAGGTATACAGGAAGAAAGTTTTTGTTTTCTTGTTGTAATAGAAGTTAATGATCGCTGCAATTTTCTTTGCTTTTCCTGCCCATTGTGTAGTTTTATCAATTTTCTACTAAATTTGTTTTGTTTTGTCACTTTAGTTTAAAATAGTTTGGTGTTCATTGTTTCTTGATTTCCTCAAGTTTTTTACATTTATTATTTGTTTGAAGTTACTTCGTTTCGATCCACTGAAATAATTCTTTATCTTCATTGGCTGCGGATCAGTAGTGGTCTTGAGAACCAGTGTTGATTTTCAATTCATAAGTTAATTTAAGATACACTGTCAGAGTCTAAGTTAGTGAGCGGCGCTCAGCAAACTTTCCCCATTCCCTATACCGTCGTTACCGATATCTGCTTAAGTGTAATATTTGGAGTCTTCAAAAAAATAAAGAATTATTCAATAAGTCAGGCGTTCAACAATATTACCACCTAGTGCCAATTCGAGGTTTACAATATAGTGCTGCAAGTGTCGGCAACTACGATTGCTTGCGGTTTATAGCGGTTCATAGTATAATTTCTCATAAGTTTAAATTCGTACGCTTGGCTAGCTTCCAAGGCTTCGAAAACAATAGAGTAGTTCAGGTTTGAAACACATCACGGATCCTTCATTACACCTCCAGGTCGACTCAATTCCAAAAACTTTCATGGTTTCCAAAGGTTTAGCACCTTACGAATTTATATGTATGCCGTTTTTTTTTTAGATTTTTGCGCTATCATTTCGTGAAAACACTTGTTTGAAATCTTACACCGTGTTAAAATAGGCCTCTGTTTATCCTCAAATACTACAGATTACTTGGAATTGCAGTGATTTTTGTTACAGCTTGATAAAGGAAATGTGCTTTTGACTGCCAGATTTTCACGGCATTACAAATAGCACAGCAGGTCTGACGATATTTTTTAACTGAATATGTTTAGAATTCAAGGTCATTTATTTTACTGTTAACTAGTAAAAGTCACGTTATGCTACGAAAAGATTTGACCGTTTTAATTTGGGCATCTAGAATCGTAATTACTTTTCAACAGACAAGTTCGCTTGAACGGAAAAGTTACCCTTCGATTGGGATAGATTTTCATAATGTCCACATTTACTTGCTTTGTTACTTCGCTGCATGAGGTGATCGTTTTTCGGTGTTATCTGCTTAATGCACGTTTGTGGATATGAAAAATATATGCCATCTTTTCAGTGAGCTGCAATGGGTATTCACGGTTTGTGGCCGCTGTTGGAACCTACTGCTCAACCAGTAACGCTAGAATCTTTAGAGGGGAAACGTTTTGCTGTCGGTAATAAGACTGTAATTTGTTTTCTCGCTTTAGAGAGATAATAATTTGTTCCGAAATACGGGCAAATCAGTTCACCACGTTTAGAAATGCCGTTTCGCTATTGCGAAAACAGCTATAATGAAATAAACTTCAGCATAATCGTTCTGGAGTGTTGATGTATCTTAATACTTCATTTTTAGATGTTTCAATATGGCTACATCAGGCTGCATGTGGCTATGGAGCATATAATCTTGAATCTCGTTCTCCTCACTTAGCACTGTTAATCAATCGTCTTTCGAAATTACTTTTTTATAAAATCCGACCAGTTTTTGTTTTTGATGGTAGTCAAGTACCAGTTTTCAAGCAAAAAATTTTGGTTCGTTTACATTCAGCATTTTATTTTCAAGTTACTAAATATGGTTCTCTGAAAAAATTTTCATTTTCTCACTCTTCTTTAACAAATAGGGAGTACACGGGTTAATGAATTATTTCGCTTTAAGCGTGACCGTCAAGTAAAACGCCATTTGGAAGAAATGACGCTAACAAAAGCGCAGAAAAGGGCTTTGAAACGCGCGTTCTGCTCACAAGATGGTTTGTACACCCCGAATTTTTTTTTTTATTTTTATCAATTTTTACGGTTATTCACTGAGTATTTATCATCTTTGGCAATACTTACAGTTGATGAAAATTCACAAGAAAAGTGGAAAAAGGCGTTGACAGAGAGTATGAAGGTCCGAGAAGAAGATCGTATGTTTGATATCCCTTCAACAAGTGGTCTATCCAGTTCATCTAAGTTAGCTTCAACTCGTAATTTTTACGTTTCGACAGACTTGTTTCTACTATTACAGGGGTCTCTTTTTCAGGAAGGTGAAATCGGAAGTTTCTGATGATGAAATAAAAATTGTTTACGCATCGAAAACTAAGACGAGTTCTGATTCAGACGAAGAGGGTCTTCTGGACGAATTGCTCACTCGTGATGAAAGAGTTGAACGTCTAATTATGCAGCGAGATCGTGCACGAGGAGTGCGCCTTACTGCTGACGAGGTTCCAGTGGAAACGCTAAAGCGTGTCTTTCATTACTGGCTTTTAGTACTGTTCTAGTATCTGTTTGTTCAAACTTCACCTATCTTTTTCATTCAGGTTCCAGATGATTCTTTGGCATTTTGTGGCTTCCAGTTAGGCCGTTTATTAAAGCGAAAACGCATTAATGATCAAATCAGTGAAGTTTGTTGCTTTTTCTTCTTGCTACTCTTGCACTTATAACAGACCGATCTTTACTAGAAGCAGTTAAACCTAACTGTTAGATTTGAATCTATTTAGTTGAAACGAGAGGCTCTCGGCGTTGGGCGAGGAAGTGATGGTCAAAAGAACGAAACTGTAAAGTTAGCTGTTTTGGAAGGACGGAACAGAGGACATTTTTTGTTGATGGATAACGACGTACAGGTGTAGAAATTGTTCGTTTTTCGTAGCTTTTAATTTTATCTCTAGCGCGATCAAAATATAAATGTTTTTTTCTCTGACAAGAGGTTCAGTGAGTTTCTTCGTTTCGTTTTCTTTGTGAAAATATTGTAAGCTTTTTTTAAAATTAATTTATTTGTTAGTTGAAGGTTATTGAAGAAGAGAGTTCATCATCTCAGCTGAAAACATGCGAATCGCTTACGTGGCCTGCGAATTTGGATCGTATGAAGAGAGAAGTAGAAAGACAGGTTGTTTTTCTTACAAGTGTCTTATTGGACTTTTGAGAAGAACGGTGTATTTTCTTTTAGAGCAACATGACCAAAGATTTGAGCAGTGAGCCTACATTTTCCGGTAGTGACGAGGACGAGGAAGAAAGAGATGAAGCTCTCCAACGCGTAATTTTTTGATGTCTTGGTTTTTGGCAGCACTTATCAGCGCTGTCATATGTGTATAAATATTTGAATTTTATTTATCGTTTTACGATGCTTATGTCTTGGTTCTTCAGGCCATTGCTGCATCTTATGCAGAGTCAAGAAGGAAGAAATCACATACATATCAGGAACCGAAGGAATCAAAAAGCGACGTTGTTGATCGGATTCGAAACGCTTTTGTCACACGTAGACAAGGTTGTCTTATTGTCGTACTTGAAATCTTGCTGGATTCTTCTATTAGTATCTAACGTTTTTAGATTTGCTCTGTGATACGTGGTCTGACAGTGAGCAGTCAAGTACGGAGAGTGATGAGTTTATTGATGTTGTTGGTGCAGGCTATTTACAGTCGTCTTCTTCTGCACCAGATGGTGAAAATGACGAGCTAAAACCTGCTTTGAGCCGTGGTGCTTCAAAGGCTAAGCATAATGAAGAAAGTAGTGTACAGAAACAAGGGTGCACTCAAAAAATTCAACCACCATCTACTAAAGAAGAGGAGGAGGTAATTTTAACATATTTAACCTTTTTTGATGCCGTTATTATTTTATGGATTTGAGGACTGGAATCCAAGTTATCTTTCGGAATATGATGGGAAGAGAAGTAGTTTTGTTTCCCGAGTTGCCATTGAAGAAAAAATAGAAGCTGAAAGAAAGTTAGAAGGGGTTTATAAGGAATGCCAGGTAATGTTTCGGTAAAACATTAGCTTTGCAATTTAATCCTAATTAATTTTATACTTTTTATGTATTTTGTAAAATTACTTCACATACTTCTCTGTAGGACTTCAGATTTTATTGCGGTATTGTGGCATACCGTTTGTCATTGCGCCTGCGGAAGCAGAAGCTCAGTGCTGTGAGCTGGAGAAACTTGGTTTAGTTCAAGTACGTTCCAAATTCAATGTAAATCTTGGTAGTTGCATTACATGATATCATAAAATTGCCTGAATATCAAAATATGGGGATTCTCACCGAAGTTTTACACTTAGTAAGTTGCTTACTTCTAAGGGTATCATATCTGACGACTCTGACGTTTGGTTGTTTGGTGCTGCGAATGTTTATAGACATATGTTTAATCAGAAGCGAAGACTCCAAATGTATTCAAGTGAAACAATCCGTAAAGAGCTAGGTATTTATTGTCCTCTTTTTTTCTTTTTTATAAGTCCTGAACTTTATTTTCAGAGGAATTGGATCACTTGCTCGTATCTTAAAGTTTATTTTACGGGAGTTGATATCTCAGCTTTTCGGTTTTGAAACTTAAGTAAGCTCTTGTTCGAGTGGGGTATGGAAAATTTTAACTTTTTCGGCGTTTGACAAAGAATATTGAGTATTTTTAGAGAGCAAGTGGCTTTGTTATGTTAAGTCATTTCTTTAGAATTTGTTCTCTAAAGTCATTTTAAAAAAGACTTGATTTTTTTTTTGAGAGGTACGTAGAATGTAGTTTCTAGTTTCATAATTGTGGAAATAAAAGGGGAAGAGGTTACTTTAACAACGGTAACGATATGACGTATTGAGAAAAGTCGTGTGCAGGCGCGTGCGGAAGTATCTGCAGCAAGTAATTAATATTCATTTCGACTATTAAATTAGTGGTGGTGGAGGCATATACTAGATGGGAGATCACCGTTTGAGTTCAGAAGCTTGTTTTACTAGTTGCCGCAGAAATTGGCTTGACTTAGTGAATTAGCGCTACAGAGTTTTTCAGATTCAATAACTGGTAAAAAATTTCTTTAGTGGTTAATAAAGCTGTTCGAAGTGAGTAGTGGCAGATAGGTTGCTACCTACGCCAATGATTAAAGCAGCGAAGAATTGGGAAATTATGTATTCATTTTTTTTCCGATTAAAATATTGTAACCCGTGAGAAATCATGGAGTTCAACAGCATAGGGAAATACCACGCTCACAATTGCTTTAATCAAAATATAAGGTAATGTATTTCTTTTAACTCTAGTTCCTGTTGTACGCCTCGTTTTACAAACGTTTTTAGGGATTACGCGTTCGGAAATGATTCAAATTGGAATGCTGTCAGGAGGAGATTATACACCAGGATTGGAAAATGTTGGTGTAGTAACAGCTTTGGAACTGATTTCAGAGTTTTCTTCGACTGCGTCAGATGACTTTTTTAAAGTAGACGATGTAGGTTTTTATATTTTGGAAAGTATTATTTGCGATTTAGGATCTTTTTATACACCAATTTTCAGGCATACGAAGTTTTAAAGCGCATATCCATTTGGATTAATCGCAACAAAAGTTCTTCAAATGATTCGACATCTCTCGAGAAAGAAATTGTCTCGAAGTGCGGCATTCTCAAGAACCAGACAGAAGACCTTACAGTTGTTGAAGAAGGCAAGAAAAGGGCCTCAGGAGGTTTTGAAACCGCAAGACGTTTGAAACTTCGCCGTATAATAGAGGAAAATAATGAAGCCGACGTTCTGGAAAATGTACTTGGTTTGAAAATATTCGGATTTTATTTGGGTATAAGCTGGTAATTTGTTGAACGGAATAGGTGTTGAGTGAATAGGAAATGGAATATAACATGGAGACCTCTGAAATATTGGAATCTCTTCGGCGTATTTATTGGCTCTCATTCTTAGGCAGAACTCATCTCTTTTTTTTGATTATCTGACAGTAGTTTTTATTGGTTGATGGGCTCTTGAGCGGAGATTTTTGTGGAGGTTTCTATTTAATCATATCAATTTTTAATTACCACTGCACCTATTTCACAATTATTAATAACTTCATATTTTTAGTTTCCATCAGCGGAAGTGTTCCAAGCTTATGCCCACCCTTTGGTTGATCATTCTGAAGAGAATTTTAGCTGGGGAATCGTTGACGAAGGAAAACTTGAGGCGTTTGTTTGGGAAAAGTTGGGATGGGACCCTGATCGTTTGAAGAAGGTATTTTGCTCTTTTAAAGTTTTTCACCTGATGGAGCATAACTCGCGGATACTTCTGCTTTATAGACTTTTTGATTTTTCTGCTGTCAAATATGTCACACCTTCTATTATTTGTGTCTATCAAGGTCTCTTTTGTATTATTTTTCATAACTTCGCAATAGGTACCAATATGAAACTTTGATATGGTGCTTATTTACAAGTCGTAATGCACTGCTTATGCAATGACCTTTTATGTGCGAACTTCAAATCTTCTATTAATATTCACAGTTCAGCTGTCTCCACAGACTGCTTGTCATTCCATTAATTGAGATTCTCTGTATTTAAAATAGCACGATTGATCGATACAACACTTAACTTTTTGAAGCAGTCTCATAATTCCCTGCATAAGTGGAACGAATATGTAAGGAAATCGGCAGGTGGTGGAGGCGGAAGTTACCAGATGCATATTACTTCCTATGCACACACGTTGCAGAAATCTGGAGATGATCAACTGTTAGCTCCTTCTGCTCGTGTCACTGCTGCACTGAAACGTCTAGCCGCGGTGAAAAGTACGTTAGGGATTGCTGTGTTTTGACTGGATAAGCTGTAATATTTTTCTTTTATTATTTTCCTAGATTTGTGCTATTCTTTCGGCTATCATTACTTGTTTAGAGAACGTTGTATTTCCTTCACTTATTACTCGTGCAAGTTATGTCTCAGACACCGAAAAGAACCCCTCTTCATCTGGCGCTGTTGACACAGTCGCAGAGAAGGGTGAGAGGACAGAAAGTGCGATGGCGACAGAAACGATGACTGTGGTATGACATGATAGTTTTCCAGACTTTTTGTTAACTAGTTGGTTGAGTTTCTGGCAAAGTAGTTAAAGTTTTAGGAGCAAAGCTTAGTTGTACGTTTGTGAATTTTCTTGAGTTTCAAACGTTTATAGAAGAACAGAAATAAGCGGAAGGCGCGTCAGACGAAAAGTGCTGCAGTTGGAGAAAGAGGAAGCAACATCAAGTCTGAATTTGGAAGGAAGTGTGGTGGTAGAAGAGGTCGTGCTCGTAAAGGAGGGAATAAGAAAGTGAAGCTAGAAAAAGAAGTCGAGAGCACCAATGAGCTTTCTTTATCAGAGTCTTCAGACGAAAATCAGCTTTCAGGTGTTAATGACAAAAAAAAATGAAGTTTCAAATTTTGCAGTTTACTCTTGTCTGTGGAGGCGTTCTTACGTTATCTATCAGTGTGAAATGGAATACAACTCGATTTGATTGAGGTCTCATGTGTAAAAATTGCATTTGAGGTTCTGACGATTGTACTGTTGGACGAAAAAGCTTAATATTTTGGCCTAAGTCATCAGAAAACTTAGAGCTTAATTAGTCACATTATTGAATGCAGGTATTTTATACTGTTCTCAGTTGTGTTGTCATGATGTCAACTTTGCTCATATTGAGAAGCATGTTTACAAATCAAGTATATTTATAGATTGATGTGTATGCTGTTCAAAGTTGTTTATAAAATTTGTCACGGCTTGCTTGTAGCTGGCATCCATGACTGCAGACTAGGATGATGAGAATGTCGAGTTTTAGTCCATCCAATGAGTGTTATTCTAATTGAGATTGATTTTCTGGTTATAAGAGTCGGGAATGAAGTATTATAAAGCACCTTTTATAACATAAAGGTCATGATTTGTGCTCTAAAGTGAAGTAGTGAGCGTATGTGCTGTTTACTTTCCTAGGCTGTAAATTTCATCAGTGATTACTAAGTGGTGGTATTTTGTCAAAATGTGGTGAACAGTTTTTTTTTTTGTTCATTGGCGACTCGGCATAGGTTCGGCAAAAAGATTATTTACGGAAGTAACTGTGGGACTTTCCAGTCAAAGATATGGTATTTTTTTGGAAAACCTGTTTGTTCCAGAGGGACAACTACTTGTCAATCTTTCAACGCTTTTTTAGGTTTCTTAACAGTGATGTGTCGTGGTAGTTACACCAGGGGGTTGGACATATTACTTTCTGCTACTGTAGTGTTTGTTTGGACATCTCAACTTTCTACTTCATTGACTAGTCGAATGTTAGTAACGGAATGAGAGGAAGTGTTTAGCTTCGGGCTTCTATCTGCCCGTTTACTACATATTTTCATGTTTGCTGTAAAACAGGCGTTAGTTTTTTTTATTCTGCGTTTGGGTGATGGAATGAATTTTTGAGCTAATAAGGATATGATTTTGAAACAGGTATCGTGAAGTTTTAAATTTTTAAAAGACGTGGTTAAGCAGACTGCCAAAAGGTCACATTAGATTATGGCAAAAATCAAGACTGCTATCGAATGTTCGCCATGAACAACAATTATTAGTTACTAACATCTTTTAAAGAGATCGTAGCGGAGGAGGGTAACGGTAATTTGTTAACGGCCTGTACGCCAAATTTTAACTGGTTTTGTTTATGATATTTTAACCTTTTCACAGAAATTGTTGACGTTGTCGAATACAGCTTTTTTCGCTTTTATTTGAAGGTACCTGGTTCGTAATGGGTTCTTCTTTGAAGGAGGAAAATAGAGAAGGAGAGATTGTAAATTAAGTGCTTACCTATCTTTTCGACACATTTCGTCTCAGAATTAGTACTGATGAATATTTTGGTTTTGAAGAACGTGTAATACTGCCAAATTTATTCGAGAAGAACATATCTTGTACTTTGAGGCAGAAGTAACTGGCGGACAAGAAGTTTCACAATCTGTTGAAATCTGACAATAAATCAACAATTTCTGCCTCATTTACTCTTCTCTAATGTATGTAAATTTATCATTGTTTTCCTTTCCGGTTTTTTTTTTACGGACATATCTGATATAACGAGTTAAAAAACGTAAAAAGCTGAAAGCGTCAACTTTGGAATAAGTTTGTGTTGGACGGTATAATCAAACTGAACATTATCAATGCACTTTTTCATTGTTCTTGTTGTTGTTGTCGTTGTTGTCATTGTCGTCTTTGTTGTCATTGTCTTCAATAGCAGATGTTGCTGCTGGTGCTATAGTTCTTGTTTCTTGTTTGATTAGTGCATTTTGTACTTTGTATTTATGCACTTCTCGTTTTTTTTTTTCCTTCTCGGTTACCTAATAAAGGAAAACAAAAAAAAAAAAAGAAATTTATGCACGAATTTTTTAAAACTTTCTTTTGTCATAGTGTACATACATATGTATATATAGCTAATATCTGACGAGAGCAGCAACCCAAAATTACTGTTGTATCTTTGACCAAACGGGGCTTTCAGTTTTCATTCATTTTTTTTTCTTTTTTTTGAGAGGAAGGAATAGAAGAAATCTTTGTTGTTTTTTTTTTTCTTTTCTTTTTGATGTTTTAGTGGTTTTTTGTTTAATTTGGTTTTAAAAAAAAAAAATGTTTAGTGGCTTTGTGTGTAGAGATATGTGTTGTTTATTTTACACAATCAGCAAGTATATTGGTGTGCTCGTATTTATGCAAATACAACAAAACAGATGAATAAAAAGGAACAATTTGAGTTTGGGATTGGCGTTGATTAGCCCCCGACTTTTAGACATTTGTCACGCCGGGCAAGTTTCTCTCCTCTGCCTTCTGTCCTCTTTCAAATGGAGACAGAGGTGGAGGAGGAGGAGATGGATGATTACTGATCAAACTAAAGAACCGTAATTGTTTTGCTACCTTCTTTTTTGTCTTCAACATCTTTTTGCTTATCTTATTTGAAGTTTAATTGGAAGAAATTAAGATTTATACCGCGGGCTCGAGAATCGAATGTGAACAATAAGGCACGGTAATGGATTTGAGGAAGAAAACTGGAGAATATTTTGCCTAAAATTGTTCATTGTTTTCAAAACCGTTTATCATCTGTGTTGTTATTTGTTTGTCTGTTAATTTTATGTTGATTTTTTTAGCACAATTATTTTTGCATATAATATTTGAAAGTTTAAAATTTTTTTCATTTATAAATAATATTTTTGTTGGTTATAATAACGTTTCGTGGAAACAGTGCTTTTTTTTTTCCCCCCCCC